GAGAGAGAGAGAGAGAGAGAGAGAGAGAGAGAGAGTCGACGTTATACAGATTGGAAGTATGTGACGGCGTAGCTGTTCCCGTGATCGCTGAAGTGAATAGTCGTAGTTCGTGCAGGACATTGGCGTAGCTCTCTGTGCGCTATCAGAAATGTATCACCAGTCAGTTGGTTATCGCGAGCATAACCATAATCATAATGCATTTCTGCGTCCTCACTGCGGTCAACATCATTTGGTATAAGATTGAGGTGACTTGCTGTTGGGGAACCCGAAAGCGATTTGCAAGACCCGTGGTGGCACGTGTCGATGCGTAGGTCCACGACACGTGGCGACTCGTCAGATCACTGCACGAGTGATTACAGGTCGAGAAGAGACGAGCCCGGGGGTGGCATGCGACGACTCTTCTGGAGTACTCCACGAGTTCTTTCAGCTCGGGGTAAGACGAACCGGGGCGCTTGCAACTTGCAAGGGTCGGTATTGCGACTGCTTGATTGGTATCCCGTGCCCAGTATGAGAGGGATGAATGAGCGCACAGCCGACGGCGACACTCGCTCCAATACAGAGCAGACGACGTAACGGAAGACGAAAAGTCGCGCGTTCGATGCCTAACGGTGACTCCGTTACGGAGAAGAGGCGGTAACGGAAGACGAGAAGTCGCGCATGTGAGGGAGGGCCAGGACTGTGGCTGTGTACATTTGTGTCCCGTGGTCCCCACTAACGAGCGGGATGCATGGGGCCACAGCTAACGGCCACTCCGTTACGTAGGATAAGACGACGTAACGGAAGCGAGGGGAAGTCGTCGCGCATGTGAGTGTGAGGGCCAAGACTGTGGCTGTATACATTGGTGTCCCCTGGTGCCCACTAACGAGCGGGATGGGAAGCTGCATTGGTGTCCCTAGCTAACGGCGACTCCGTTGCGGATGAGGCGACGTAACGGAAGGGAGGGGAAGTCGTGTGCGACAGTACCGATAAGCACACGGGGCCTTGCGTAAGGTTATGGGGACGTGGAAACGATAAGTTCCGCCGCGTACGGGGCGGGACACAACGCAAGGCCGTGTGCTGTCAGGCGACGTGCAGAAGAGGGCCCATCGCCTCCCGCGAGGCCACGTCGACTGGCGACACGTGGCAGTCTTGTGTTGCTCGTTCGATTAGTGTGTGTGCTCTTCAAAGGTCGTCGAAGAGGAGTAAAGGGTTGTAACGCTTGTGCACTTCGGATCGTCGAGTAACGGAGGAGGAGGAGGACAGGGAGGATAGCGAAGAGAGGGAGGAGGAGGAGGAGGAGGAGGAGGAGGAGGAGGAGGAAGAACCGGAGGCTTACAGAGGCGACATTGGTGCGCAGGCGATCGGTATCGACTTAATTGTGCCAAGCCTTGATCTGTAGCGATCTCAATCCCAAGTGGGCAACGCAAAGAGGGGGCAGGAGAGGAATGCGCGAAATTGTACATGTGCACTTCGCGGCTGGGGTAGGAGAATCGTCGATTGACTAGAAAAGTAGCGTAGGAAGTAGAAGAGGGAGGGGGTGAGAGAAGGATGGTGAGGTGGAGGATAGAAAGAAGGAAGACAGAGGGATAGAGCGCAAGGCGAAGACGAATTTTCTGCTGTAAGGAATTTCTGTTGTCTGTGTTTCTCTACCCGGTGTTCTTGCACCTTGCCACGGGCTAAGGTCTCAAAAGAGGTGGATGCATTAGCTGAGAGAGAGAGAGAGAGAGAGAGAGAGAGAGAGAGAGAGAGAGAGAGAGAGAGAGAGAGAGAGAGAGAGAGAGAGAGAGAGAGAGTCTTTCTTCCTCGGCAATTATAGACCATTTGGTCTTATAAAGAATAGATAGGGGGGGAAGGGAGAGAGAAAACGTCCGTCGTGAAAGATGGGTGCGCCGTACGAGGAGCTTGTCTGTACGAAACTGAATGTTGAGCCGAAGGAACCGAGATCAGCAGCAGAGGAAGAGGAGGAGCGGGAGGGGGGGGAGGAGGCCGTGAGAATGCTTCTTCCCAAAGAGAAAATGACTGACGAAGGGAAGAAGATTTCAGACGACGAGGAAACGGACGTGGAGGAAACCAAGTTGTTGGCACTAGCGTTAGCGTCCTCTCTGCGGTCTGCAACATCATCGCCGGCCAAAGACGTGAGCAATGGTGACAGCCCTGCTGCTGCTAGTACCATCGGCGCCTGCTACTGGCATGCTCTTCGCAGCAGATGCAAACGATGGGACAAGGCGGGAATCGCTCTCGTTGTCTCCTCCGTCATCTTGGTGACCATCTTCGGTCTGCCTTGGATGTTCCCTTGGATTACAGATTTCGGCCGCGAAGCGGTTGTGACCGGGTTCAATCATTTCTCCCCCGATGTGCCCTGCGATTACACCAAGGGGAGCTGGCTGTTCGACGACTCGCTGCCTTTGTATTCCGCCTGCAACAACTTAGCCAAACACAACTGCGAGCTAGATGGGCGACCCGACCTTGGGTATCAGAAATGGCGCTGGCAGCCGTTCGATTGCAGGATAGATCGCTTCAGTGCGCGGCGATTCGTGGCGGCTATGCGCCGCGTGCAGCGCCGGCGATTGCGGCGGAGCAACGCGGGGAAGGCGGGGAAGGCGGGGGAGGCGGGCGGGGCGGAGGGGAGAGGGGATGAGTACGCCACCCTCGCGTTCGTGGGGGACTCGCTCGGTCAAAACATGTTCCTCTCGATGAAATGCATCTTGGAGGCGCAACTTGGCACGCCGACGAGAAATTTTGCCAAGCCAAGGTACGCCACAGTGGAATGGAAACCGCATCTTCTGAGACTCGTGCTGATTAAGTCGCCCTACCTGACGAGCTTGCAGGTGAAAGGAACGGACAAGGAGATCACGGGAGATTTCACGAGGGAGTCGGTGTCGGAGAACGACCCTTGGTGGGAGCTGCACCTGGACAAAATACCCGCCGGATGGGTTAACAGGCTGACGGAATTCGACGTGATCGTGTTTAACTCGGGTCATTGGTGGGTGACTAGCAAGTTGGATGCGCGGAAGATAGAGTTTGCAGAGGGGTCGGTTTTGGGAGAGAACATCACGCTGATCGAGGCGTTTCAGCACGCGATTAGCACGGTGATGAACCACATGGTGGACTTGGTGCAGAGCGGGGACTTCGACGGGGAAGTGTACCTCAGGTCGTACTCTCCGCACCATTTCACGAAGGGAGACTGGAATACTGGAGGGCGTTGCGACGCGAAATTGCCGATTTTTAACGAGAGCCAAGTGGCGCTGCATCGACACAACAGCATGAAGCAGATGGCCAGCTATAACGAGGCGTTCGTATCGGTGTTCAATGCCACCAAGGCCAGGTGCGCAAAATGCAGGTTCCATTACTTGCAAATCACAGAGTTATCCGACTACAGGCCGGATGCACATCCATCAAATTACACCGGGAGGGCGGGGAACGTGGAAGATTGCTCGCATTGGTGCCTGCCCGGACTGCCGGACACGTGGAACGAGCTGCTGCTGTTCACTCTCGAGAAGCCGTGGTTATACTGAAGGAAAAGAGAGAGAGAGAGAGAGAGAGAGAGAGAGAGAGAGAGAGAGAGAGAGAGAGAGAGAGAGAGAGAGAGAGAGAGAGAGAGAGAGAGA